AAACAACCCCACTAATTAACATAATTATGCCATACCCTTGCGCAACTCTATAACAGAACCTCTTCAAGAGTTCAAAGGGCATCCGTATCCCTTCCTCCCCCTCTTCTTACCAATCAACGTAATCACCAAATATCACAAAATACACATAATCACAAAAAAATTCAATAATACAAAATAAAAAACATCAACGATAACACTGCACGGCATGGCACTAGTCACTTCAGGGGGGTCGCGCGCGCGGGCACGCCCACGCTCCCGCCCACTGCGTATCCACTGAACACGCCCACTGCGTATCGACTGAACACGTACGTCCACTGCGTATCGACTGAACACGCCCACTGCGCATCGCCTTGGCGGTCGATTCAAAACCGCGCGCGCGTCCCTCGTATTACCCGCGAGCGTGCCCGTGTGCGTCTCCCCCCCCGTTCCCCCCGCAAAGTAAAAAATGCCATGATCGTATAATAAAATGCAGCGTTATAATAAAATTCAATCACCTTATACATACAAATTGGTCCACACGCCTAATTCCCGTATGAAAACGTTGTGAATAATCACTTGTTGCTGATGAATTCTGTTGAATTCCACCAAAAATTTCATCCACCAAACGTCAATTCCATCAAAAATATCCTTCTTCGCGACGAAATACCACTTCCATCCAAATAATTTCGTCCCATCCAAATAATCTCCATTCCAAGGCACATCGGCAGCAACCACCACTGCGTCAGCGTGATCAATACAATTACTAATTTCGATCCGTCGATCGATTGCTGATCACACCGTATTCCATAAACATTACCTGCAATCACATCATCTCTCAATCGATACTGATCAAACTAAAAATAACCAATCGAACCAATCCGACCGACTGATTCACTGTTATTTTTCTAAAATATTCATGAAAACCAACGTGATCTCATCGTTCAATAATAGCTCTTGATAGGACGGCGGAGGCATTGGAGAGCCGGCGCTGCTCGGCGATACGTTCGTCTCACAAATACTCCGGTAAGACGGCACTCGATTTTGTCTACAACGATAATTATTTTATACATTTACTGATCCCAATAAACATACTGAACATTCACAACAGTAATAATAATACAGAAACAAATAATAATAATAAATAAACTAAAACAATTTCAATTCTAACATCGGTGTTGACACGAAGCTGGTCGTCGTCTCAGTGGACGCTTCATTGGCACATTGGATTGCTTCCAGTAAAATTATTATTGAATTTCTCGTATATTTTTGCCTGAATTTACACTTATTATCTAATGATTTTGTTGTTCTATCAATATTCACTCGTACTATTAACTTACTTTGCTACTATCACATCCCTATTACTATTAAAGAAATAATTACATAACAATGGCCCTATTGACGTCAACTTTTGACTTAACAATTTAAATTTAACCGAGTTAATGAGTTAATCCCTTAATTAACGACGTTTGCGTGTGCAGCACATGAATACTAGATCCAACAATGAATTATACGAACGAACAAAAAGAACGACACGTCTACGACAACTAGACTCCAGCGGACAAGTAACCCCGCTGCATCGTTGTAAGACCCGTTGGCAACGTGCCAACCAGTCTTACAACGAGCATTCATCCCGGTTCGTACCTCCCTCCGCCGCCGCGGAGCCACTTGTCTGCCGGCCAGGTTGAACTGTCGTCACCGCACTCGTCACCTGAACACAACAGAACAGAATCTGATTGCTAAATAAATTTTTTCAAAAAAAATTTTAAAAAATGCCAACTTTTTGGTGGAAACTCGTGACGCCAGCAGGAGGCATCCAATCGAGACACTCATCAGCATGATCACACCAAATAAGAAAGTCATATGATCTTCGGGCACACTCTCGGGCTCGTTCAAATAAATGGGCATGCTGACACTGCTTTCTGTCACCTTCATTATTATTATTATTATTAAAAATAAACCACAATAAATAAAACCAATACATAATAACAAAAACAATAAATATAACAACACAATCAAATAACTAACATTAAAAACATCGTCCATCGATTGTGTTATATATTCGCACGTAACCTCCTCAATTATATCTCTCAAATCTCGCCTCGTTTCAATTCAGAGCAAAATCTCCTTTNAATCCAATTAATAATTAATAATCCAATTAATCCAATAATAATTCAATAATCCAATAATTCAATCCAATCCAATTAATCCAATTATTCAATAATCAACAAATATCTTTTAAGCAGCAGCAGCAGTTATACAATGCGATAAATATCTTCACATATACCAACGAATATTATCCAATTTTCCCATTCCATATAAAATTTCATATTCCAAATATAAATTGGTCTCACGATCAATCGTTTCACCGAGAACCTGAATATAACAAAACAATGATAAATAATAATAATAATATTAAATAACAATACAAATCACAATAATAACAATAAGACAAGCCAAATCT